AACTTACTTTTGGTTTGGGTTTCGATGCGATTGTGAAGTCATAGACAGCGATGACTTGGATTGTCTCATAGGAGACGACGTCTGACTCATTGGGTTTCGATTGAAAGACATTCTCCGAGAATCTGTTGGCGTCGACGGAGTGGACAACGGAGTGGTCAGAAGTGACGGCATCTTAGAGGTGGGAACGGATCGACTTTTGCCGACATTACTGCACACGTGGTTCTTGTGGAGAGTGCGGATCTGATCGGGGATTTGTGTGTCACTCAATTGCATGCAACCCATGGTTTGCAGCATTTCATAGAAAAGCATATTATTCTGGTTCCGCACGCCATGGATGAGACACTCGCTCGAGTTGACGCCATTCACGGCGCCTGTCATTTGGTAGTGGCTGTGACTGTGGCCCGACTGAGCCCTCGACTGGTCGTTGTCTGAATACCTGCGTTGACGGCCTCCTGAAGTACAGCGAGGGATCTGACTCTTCTTCGGCGGTTTACTTCCGTGTCTTTCGTCCGATTCCTGTGATGTCACTCTCGAGTGGACATCACTTTTGGCACTAATTGGCGGATCAGCGATAGGTTTGTTGGCGGAAGACATGTTGGTTTGAATTGTTGGACAATATATTGGATTGAATTGGAGATTAGATCCAAAGAAGTGATGACAAGATTGGTATGAATTGAAAACAACGTAATCATATGAACACGAAATCAATAATGCATTCAATAATGCATTCACTCATACACTGCTCCACTGACTCACTCACTCACTGCACACACACTGCCCTCCAGTGACCGCTAACCCAAGCACTCCATTGGCGCTCACTTTGCAACCAAGGATTCATTGAATTGAATGATAATTACAATTAAACACCAATTCATTGGCAAACACCCACTAAATGATGCATTTAATGTCAACTTTCACTAACAAACCCAATACGATCATCACAAACACACTTACAGCCCATATTAGACTAACTTTGTATGAATATGTATACAATTATATTTGACTGGATTAACCGTTAATTGAATGACAAGTTACGCAATAAAGGGTTAGATATAGGGGTGTAATAGTTGTGAGTGAATGTCAGTGCAATTCATTTGGTATTGATTGGTATGATTTGTTTGGGTATAGTATAGTGTATAGCGACGAGTCGTATGAATATGCAAACAATGCGTGCAATGGCGTAGTGGTGTATGTGGTGGTTGTGAGCCGTGTATAAGCCGTGCATAAGCCGTGTGTATGCCGTGTATATGCCGTATGTATGGGCCGTATGCCGCATGCAATGGCAATATAGGCGGACAATAGGACTGTAGGACTGAATGCGAGTGCGAGAGAGGAGTGAAGGGCGCGTAGTGTTTGATAGACTCGCGGAGCCCTACTCTCCGCTATATGACTGTACAGTCTGTACACTCCGAGTGTCACGTCGAGTGACTCGTATGGCTGAGCGATGAGTGGTTGCATTGGCAGCAGTCGTGTGCGAGTCGTAACCGATAGCGATTGGTTGTGGCACTCGTACTGTAGGAGCACTGGTAGGAGCGCTAGTAGTGCAGTGCAGTCGCAACTAAGTGTTGGCTGTGGTGTGTGTGTGAAAAGGGGCCAATAGTTGGGGTGTGTGTAGCGTGCGGTGTAGTGCGTGTAGGGGACGAGCGTTTGGTGCCTTATATGAGTAGTGCCGGCGATGTAGTGATGGCATAGCGTTACCGCATATCGCGTTCACTAGTAATGGCCAGAAGGGATGTGCAGTCAATGGACGGTCTCTACTAATAGGCGGTGACCTATATATGTGTGCTTTGAGTCCGCACTACACGACTGCCTTCCCTTTGGACGACATTTTGTGCACACTTTCGGTAATTATTGTGCCTTTTATTCAATTCGTAGCATTTGATCGCAGTTTACAAACCATTTACTAATTATTTGGCATTCATTTCAAACATTTTCATCAAAACTGCTGTGAATTCACTTCACTTTTCTCACTATTATTTTCATTGTTTTTGTGTTTAAATCACTTGAATTTCATTTCATTTCTGTTTGTTTTCATTAATTTTAGGCAATTTATATACTATTTAGTGTTATTTAGCTATAATTAGTGTGAATTAGTGTTAAATTTAATTACAATTAACTAATTATGTGTTTTTGTATTACATTATCATTTGATTTCCGGTTGTTTTGAACGAAAGTCATATCAAATCTAAGGCTAATTATCATTGACTGAAGAAGTGGTGACCAATGAAGATGTCGACAAAGTCAGGGATCCGTTCACTGGTGTGTGACTCGAATGGCATAATTGTGGCCGAAATGGTGTACAGATGTATGATCTGTTCGGCCATTCATGATGTCTTAGACGACGCCCAAAGACACTATCAGAGCGAACACATCGACGACAACGACAATGACTGCAAGACATCCAACCAGCAGATGATTGGTGGCGACAGCGATCTCGAGGACGAGGAGGACTTGAGTCTGAACTTCGAGATGCAAGAGTCGATGTATGAGGACATGGGGCACAACCAGAGCGCTTCCAACTCTGTGACCGTCTCAGTGCCGGCCAGTCTTCGACAACTGCAATACCAGAGCCTCACCCCTAACAACAACTCGGAGTCGATGATATTGGAGCCATCCATGGATCAGTTCACTGTCATGGACAACAGGCCCAACAAACCAATCACTTTCGCTCAGCCCTCCAACTCCTTCCTCATGCCATTCGGCGGCACTACAGGTACTCATTGTCTCCATCACTGCCTCCATTGTGTCCACATTTGAGTCCATTCACTACAACCCAATGCTGTCTCACAGGGAAAGTGACGCCTAAGAGAGTCGGCGGCGGATTCGTGACCTGCGAGGTGTGCGGACTCACCAAATACTACTCCCATATATCCCGTCGCTATGGAGTCTTCAGTTGTGAGAGTTGTGCGAAATTCTTCTACAGATATCTCTTGAAACCATCGAAGTTCGTGTGCGCTAACAATGGTACCAATCATTAAGCATTCATTTGATTAGACATTCATTGAAGACATCTTGAATTTTAGGGAACTGTTCGCTGAAGATCGACGTTCCGGGCGGTCGTTGCAAGTCATGCCTATTGCAGGCGTGTCTCCAGAAGTACATAATTGATCCGAAAAAGCATCCGAAGATCTTTCAGAGGTCTCCGGCCACTGGAGAGAAAGGAGTGGCGGGTGTCATGAATGTCGTTCCGGCGAACGTTCAAATCAAAATCAATCCCAAACCCAAGCAATTGCTGGCCAAACCTAACATCAAACAAGAGATCTCATTGGATGGACAGGACGTGAAAGGACAGGACCCCTCCCTCACGGTGGCGACGCCCAAGCCGTCGACGAATGGCATAGTAATCAAAGCGACGCCCGCGGGTTCCGGCAAACGGAAGCAACAGTTCAATGAGGACGGGGTGGCCGTCACCCGGAGCCGCAGAATCGGGTGCCGCGAGTGTCCCGGCTGTTTGGCTGACGACTGCGGCCAATGTCTGTACTGTTTGGATAAACCCAAGTTCGGAGGCAATGACGTGAAGAAGCAGCGCTGCATCAAAAGGCGCTGCCATAGGGCTAACTATACCTAACACTGCACTCCAAGTGCCGATCCATTCAGTCCCAGAGTCGGTAATTAAGGATTCATTTAATGGTTTTGATTAACTTTTATATTATTTGATCGACAATTGACTTGAAATTCACTATAAATTATATCTTTCTTATTCACTCCCTTTCTATCAATAATTAATTTAATTTCTTATCGACTCATAAATGATTAGTTTATTATTATTTCGAGGCTTTAATGAGATGTAAGTTATGCTACAAATGTTTATCCTATAAAAAGATTATAATATTCTTTAATAATCATGAATTGTTCACACATTTGCCGTACTATTACTATTCGTATTGAAAGCAACACAAACACGACATATATTTGTTATCTCGATATTAAGACTTCAACTCTTTACCATTTAATTATAAGTAATATTAAGATTCAAATGGGAATCAAATTATTGTTTTCTATTATTTTGTCCTTTATTTTTAATAATCCATTTTTTGAGCATAAATTGAATTAAAAATATAATTTTAGAACTAATATCGAGTGTTATCTGAATTTAACACTTTTAACGACTCGTGATTTAATGCCAGACATCTCCCCGCCATAGGGTTTCAGTTCTTTGCGCGGTTCCCGCACCTGACCCTTGCGCCTGATCTGAGCCTTTCTGTACTTCATTCTGTGCTTAACTCTCGGATTCTTCAGTTCCTTCTTTCGCTTGGGAGTCAGTCCTTTGTTTTTCGCCATTTCGTATGTTATTCCCCTCTTTGCGGTCGCATCCGTTTCCTCCACTTCCTGGGCTTCCGGTGCCGTCAATTCGCGAACATCTATATCGTCAGCAAATTTGACTCTCTTTTCGTTGCCAACGGTTTTCGCTTTTTTGGTTCGTTTTCTCGAGAAACTCACGGATTGTTTGGATTTCAATGTCTCTAAAACTAAATCAATGTCACTATCAATGCATTTGTTGGCCGAAGCGATTGAATTCATTTCATTTAACAGTTTTTTGAATGAAATGATCTCTTTTAAGACCGGATGCTCTTTCAATGACCGGTGTTTGCATTTCAGACTCATATAAAAGCATATATTTATGCAGTAATTGATGATTATATGAAATCTGGTTTCAATGTATTTAAATCCGTTCGTGTCATACACTCTCTTCTTCCTTATGGTTTCCATTACCGGAAATAATCTGTCCTTCAGTTCAGTGAAATATGTTTGAAAATCAGTGATCAATGCCTCCAATTCTGGCGACTCTTTCCTAAGAATTTCCAGTTTTTGTCTTTTCGTTAAATTCGAGAGATTTGTCTGAAGTCTCTCTTCGTCTTCTTCTTCCAAGTCTTCACGACTCCTATCATTAAAACCAGTTTTTGGTTCAATATCTCCGACGAGTAACTCGAGGCCAACGTCCGCTTCACTGATGGACTCGAGAAGACGTTTCTGTATTTGAAGCGCTTCTTCCTCTTCAAAGTCCGCCAAATCCGAGTCCTTTGGAGTGTATTCTGAGTGCAAACCAAACGACAACTCAATTAAACATT